ACGGTACGAAAGTGCAAAAACGCATAATCGCTCCGGCCCGCCTGGTGCGTTCCAGCCTGGGTTTCTTTAAACGTTGAATTTTTGCGTACCTAACTGTGAGTGATAAAAAGATTTACGCCCATTTCCTACCGACGAGATCATTTGATGCTTTCATTCTTCAGTGATAAAACCAATCGTACCGGTAAACTTCAGTGATAACAAAATTTCCTCATATTGTTTCCCCAATTGAGGCACAAGAGCATTTGGCATAAATGCATGCAGACATCGTGAGGGCGCTTTTTAAGGAAGCGACGATACAGCGCATCAGAAATATCGTTAAAAATTACAGGGGACAATGTTGCGTCAAACCTTCTCCAAGGTGGCGTTATCGAGGTGCTCTCGGGCCTCATCGGCACCGCGGCGCATCGTTTTCTCGGTGTTGACCCAAACACAGGGCGCATTATTGGTGCCATTGCTGGTAATGTCCTCTTCCAGCTTGGTGGAAAGGATAATAAACTCTCAGACATCGGTAAAATTGTTCTCGACAATATCGTTTCCGGAAAATTCCGCCGAAAGGTTCCTTTTTTATTGGAAACTGATTGCTCTGATGCTGATTTCGAGTCTTATGCAGAAAAAAATCCACTACTTAACCAGTGTTCTGGCTTTTGCAACCTAGCATTGTAAACTGTTTTGTTTAATAGGTATTTTCTATAAGAAAATTGGATTTCTTTTCCAAAAATTATTAATTTGTTTGCATTCATTTTTTGCCAGAATGTAGTTATCAGCTAAAAGCGCTATAAATTTTCGTTCATTTAGTCCTTCTAGCCGAATTTACTTCCACCTTAAAAAGTGAAGAAATCATTCAAAGCCAACTTTGGTCCATTTTCACTACCTAAATATTCATTTTCCAGGTTTTTGGATTCCTTTTTCACCTGATTTTTTGAGTTTTGGATCGATTCTTTGTACCTATCAATTTTTGGGTAACTCTTCCAGGTAGATCCGTATATTCCGCGAGAGCCACGCCCGGTTCCACGCCCGCCCTCGCCATCTCGCAGGGCTGAAGCTTTGGACTTCTATGAGGAACGTGATCGTTGCTTGCAGGTTGGCTTGACCACTTTAATTTCTTTTTGCTGCTGGAAGTTTTTATGCGTTTTGCATCTATACAATGACGGCCCATGAAGTGTGTGTTTGTGTGCGTGTGTGTGTATTTATGTATACATATGCATGTATATTGAAATACCCGTCTGTCCAGGTAGTTCAACTTGACAACCAAGCAGGCTTTGGCACAGAAACTTTACCAGTGACTCTTAGCCCAAGATCACAGTGCCAACTTATAAGCAAGTATGAATCCGAGTGCGTGGGGATAATCGCTAACTGGTGATCCGGAGAGGCTGAAATTTCAAGAGGATTTTCTCTGTCCACATGCAACTTGAAATTCTCAAATTTTATCTTTCGGGTATGCGAGCTTCCCACGTACGGACACGTGGAAGTTTTGGCGAGAATATTTCTAATTAGAGGCTAAGCAAGTTAGGGAACTGAAATCCTAGGTAGACATCCTCTGTCTGTGCGCGATTTACGGGTTTCAAACTCAGTCTCCAAACATGCATGGTTCTCACGTACTGGCACGTGAAATTTTTGGTTGGAGGATTACCTGATTCGGAAACTAGGGTAGTTAGGTCATTTTCAGCGAATGACCATTCAACGGAAATTTTTCATTGTCCTTTAAGCAAACTATACAGCGATTACGGTAACGAGGAATTTAAGTGCAAAGCAACAACCGTACATACACGACCTAATTGCTTAAAGTTTAGTGTAAAAGTACGTGATCACAAGAGTAACTCTGGTGCATTGCTGCTTGGGTTTTGAATGGAACTAGGAGCGGACAGCAGGGAAATTTGCTTATTCATTTTCTATGCCTCTAGCTTGCTCTAAAAAAGTGACATTTCAGCAGTCTTGGTTTGGTCTAAATTTAAGAATCATATTCATAATGCAGTAAAGTTATGAATTTAGCATGTTTCCCAGCCTGCTTACATCGGTGAGCAGTACTTGGTTTTGTCATCGACTAGCAGGATTTTTCTGTTGCTTTTTGTATGCAGGCTATCGTCGTATTTTAAAATTCATTTTCAGCTAAAAAATACCCGGTTTTTTTCCCAGATTTTCTCTCATCTTTGTTTCAGTAGGCCCGCACAACGAATGATATGTCGTTTGGCTATACAAATGAATTATTTTTAAAATTGATTTTCAGTCGAACTCACTGTTCGAAGATCCTGAATTTCCAGCTGCTGATTCCAGTTTGTTCTACAGCAGAAGACCCCCAAAATATGTCGAATGGCTTCGTCCGGGTGTAAGTGCAGCCCGTATTGGCTATCCTTCCTTTCACATATTTTTTGCTTGATTTACTGAACTGATCAGTCTTATCCAATCCTGGCTACATCACCGATTAGCAGATTCCAGACAGATTTGCTGGCATGAAGCCATTTTTTCTCTTAATGCTAGCTTTATCTTAATTTTATATAGCTGTGACGTTGATGATGATTTCGCCAAATAGGAGAAATCAGGTGGCTACTCGCACTCTCAGTAGTTTCCGCACGAAAATCACAGCTCTCATGATTTTGTCATTGTTTGTTACGGAATGTTTGTACATCCCGTAAGTTTTGCAAGATTGCTAAAAAACTGTTTTATAGGAGATCGTGAAGGAACCAATGTTGATTTCGGAAGGACAAACTCGTTTTGATGTCATCCAGGGTGAATTGGGCGATTGCTGGCTTATGGCCGGTTCAGCTAGTTTAACTCTCCGTGATGAACTTTTCTACCGTGTGGTACCACCCGATCAGAGCTTCACTGAAAACTATGCAGGTTAATGACTTAAAATAATGTATATTGAAGGGCAGAAGTATTTTGTATAAAAACAATGAAACTAATTATACAAAATCTGAAAGACTTCTGTTCACATGCCCGTTCATAAAAACATCGCCCGTATGAATTTAGTTTGTTGAAGGCTAATTATGTAGAAGTTTTCAAAAGTACGGAGGCAAATTTACACATTTAGTATGAATTGAACCAAGTTGGCCGGATAGCTGGTAATACCATGTTAGCAGGGTTACTGGGATGCTCCTAGACTCCGAGCTTGCCCAACTATACCAGATTCTTCGATCCTGAACTGTTTAGCTCCAAATGGTAATAATCGCCTGTTCGATGTACGTGCATTACCTGTTCGGTAAGCAATCGTTTGTTCTATCACAGGTACCATTCATTGATACGCGAGCTGCTCAATCATTAAAAAGATTGCTTTAGGCTTTCAAATATCGAGCTGAGCGCCTTAATTAAAAGTTACTGAAAAAATGTTTCAGTCGATCAAGTCGATATGTTGCAGGAATTTTCCACTTCCAGTTCTGGCACTACGGTAATTGGGTGGATGTTGTCGTCGATGACAGATTGCCAACATCCGGAGGAAAGCTTTTGTATATGCACTCCCGTGAAAACAATGAATTTTGGAGTGCTCTGATGGAAAAAGCTTACGCAAAGTAAATGCTACTTTACTTATGTTGTTTTGCACTAAATTTTGTTCAAAATATTTTACAAAAAATATTTGTCTAGAAAAATTGGTACTGTAATATCAGAAATGCCACTACTGTCCAGTCAATCGGTGTGATTATCCCAACTCTATGCCCGGACGGCTAGGGCAGTAATACCACACCGTTCGATTATGATACCTCCGGTTATTACCTACCAACCGCCTGTTTGGTGCAGAATAATCAGTATTTAAATAAATTTGTTTATTCTAACAAATTCAGGAACTGGCTCAGTGCGAAAAAAAGGATTTCAAAACGATTTGGAAAGGGATTGTTGCAAAAACTGGTGTAACATTTTTCCTTGTTAGATCCATTTAAGGCTGTATGGTTCCTACGAAGCACTGAAAGGTGGCACAACATCTGAAGCACTAGAAGATATGACTGGTGGTCTGACTGAATTTGTCGATTTGAAACAGCCACCACCAAATTTGTTGCAAATGATGTTCCGTGGCTTCGAAATGGGCTCACTGTTCGGATGCAGCATTGAAGTATGCACAAAATAACATCCAGTAATATTGGTAAGAAGAAGTGGTGAAAGCATTAAAATAATAATTACAGCAATAATGACAATAATGCTAATAATTTAAAACCAACAATAATTAAAGAATAATGGTAAAAAATAAGAATGGTACCAGTAATCTAATAACTATAATAATGATGATGATAATGATAGCACCAAGCGTTCAATAACAATTATGATGAAAACGATAGCATTGACAACAGTGATAGTAATGATAAAAAAGATAATAATGGTGATAGAGAATAACAATAATAAAATAACAGTCCACGCTGTTTTTGCCTCCTTCCAGTAGTTGTTATTTCAATTAGTAGACAATAAGAATGGGATACATTCTGCAGAATTTTCATTTTTTTTTTTTTTTTGACTGCAGGCGTCACCAATGGAATTTGAAGCTCGTACACGAGAAGGTTTGGTGAAAGGCCATGCGTACAGTATCACTGGCATGAGACTGGTAAGCCATGTGCTTCACATTTGCTGTGTTATTTGAAGGTAATGTGACTGAATGGATTGAGAGTGAACGGAATAAATTGTTCGGATTTTGAAACGGTATGAAAACAATTCAAATTGCACGGAATGAGCCCGACTTACTGAACTCAAATGAGCTGATATGAAATAAGCAGAACTGGAATGAT